GAGGTGAAAGAGTATTCCAGAAGGAACAGCAAGTGAAATGTCTCTAAGGCTAGATGTGTAAGGTGTGTCCGAGGCTCACAGAGGAGTTCATTGTGAATAATTAAGAGAACAAGCAGATGAAGTTAGAAAGGTAACAGGAGGTCAGATTATACAGGGACTGCTAGATCACAGTATGGACTCTTATTATAGGTGGGCCAGGAAGCCACTGGAGGCTCTGAGCAGAAGAGTGACATAATCTGACATATTTGAACAGGCCCACTCTGGCTGTTATTGTTTTTTGTTTGTTTTTTTAAATGATTTATTTTAGTAGGGTGGGCAGAGGGAGAGGGAGTCTCAAGCTGACTCCCTGCCGGGTGAAGAGTCTGACATCGGACTCTATCTCACGACCATGACATCATGACCTGAGCCAAGATCAAGAATTGGATACTCATGGGGCGCCTGGGTGGCTCAGTCGTTAAACGTCTGCCTTCAGCTCGGGTCATGATCCCAGGGTCCTGGGATCAAGCCCCACATCGGGCTCCCTGCTCCGTGGGAAGTCTGCTTCTCCCTCTCCCACTGCCCCTGCTTATGTTCCTTCTCTAGCTGTGTCTCTCTCAGTCAAATAAATAAAATTAAAAAAAAAAAAAAGAATTGGATACTCAACCCACTGAGCCATGCAGGCACCCCTAGCTGTTGTCATTAAGAAAAGACTCAAAGCAAGCAGATGTAGAAGCAGGGGAAATCAGGCTACTGCGAGAATCCAGACAAGACACTGTAATAGCTTGGTCCACAGTGGTAGAAGTAGGGGTGGTGAAGAGTGATCACATTCTGGATAAGGTCTACAGGCAGGACCAAGCAGAATTTACTGACAGGCTGCATATTGGGTATTACAGGAGTCAAGGTTTTTCGCTTTAGCAACTGAGAGAAGGGATTTGCCATTATCTGAGATAGGAATGTAGGTGTTAAGTTTTGGATGTGCTACGTTTGAGATTCCTGAATTTATTGACTGAAAATAATTTCCTGGATTGACTTGCATTCTGCATATTCCTCGCCATTAAATTTTTTTTAGCGATCTATTGATATTAATCTTTTATCTCTTAGAAATGCAATGACTGCACATTTTAATGTGACTAAAAGATGAGAGCAAATAATCTAGCAAAACTAAAACCCAATCACCTTTGGCAAAATACAGTTCAGTGGCATATAGCAATGTAACAAATCTGGAAACCACAAAAGATTATAACAACTACTCTTTAAATGACTGCTACAGTAAAATGTGACCTTTTGCTTAATTTTGTTTGATTTTTAGTTGGTCGGTGGAGTCTATAGGAGGGACTGGGAACGATTTGCATTAACTTATTTTCAGGGGGCACCTGGGTGGCTCAGTCGGTTAAGCGTCTGCCTTCGGCTCAGGTCATGATCTCCCGCTCCCTGCTCAGCGGGGAGTGTGCTACTCCCTCTCCCCCCACCCCGCCCCCTGCTCAAGCTCTCTCTCTCAAATAAGTGAATAAAAATCTTAAAAAAATAAAAAAAATGAACAAAACTTATTTTCAGGAAATAAAGTCGTAAGAGCTTAGAGTATTTTCTTTTATTTTTTAAAGATTTATTTATTTGAGAAAGAGAGAGCACGCACAAGCAGGCGGAGTGGCAGAGGGAGAGGGAGAAGCAGACTCCCAACTGAGCAGGGAGCCTGACCTGGGGCTCAATCCCAGGACCCTGGGATCATGACCTGAGCTGAAGGCAGATGCTTAACCGACTGAGCCACACAGGTGCCCCGGCTTAGAGTTAAGCCCCAGCTTAATGCTACTTTTATAAAATGTGTTTAGTAAAGTTTATCTGTCATGTATCTGGGACTACTCAGAGTTGAAAAAAAAACCAATTTTCCAATGACAAAACCAAAAACCACTGTCTCTGAAAATTTAAGAATGCAACAAACAACATGCCCTCCAGTCCATTTTTCCACTCTTAACAGATAACTAAAAATTCAGATTTAATCTTACTCAGTAGCTTAAAATTATCCAATGGTTTCCCACTGCCTAGAGGAATGAGAATGTACAAGCCCTTTCATGAGCCAGGCACCAGCTTTTCTTCCTAACTTGTTTTTCTTTTTTTTTAATTTTATTTATTTGACAGAGACACAGTGAGAGAGGGAACACAAGCAGGGGGGAGTGTGAGAGGGAGAAGCAGGCTTCTCATGGAGCAGGGAGCCTGAGAGGGGCTCAATCCTAGACCCTGCGACCTGAGCCGAAGGCAGATACCTAATGACTGAGCCACCCAGGTGCCCCCTAACTTGGTTTTTTAATCACCTCTTCCTACACCTTATGCTTGAGCCCAAATTTTTCCAAAATGTGTTCCAAGGGATACCAGTTCACCACAGAAAAAGGGCCCCATGGTCAAATACACTTTGCAAATTACTGCCAAATACCTTTTTTTTGGACTTAGAATTAGTCTATTATGGAGATGATGAAATGCAGCACTCCCCAAACTTATCTGACCACAGAACCATTTTAGTGTAACGCCTACTACATGCCTATGAACATATTTCAAAAAAGCTCCTCCAGGCTTACTGAGGATTGAAAAGCTTTGTTCCATGCCTTTGCATATGCTCCCTTTGGCAGAATGACTGTTACTCTAGTCTGCTTGATAAAAGCCTTTTTCAAGTCTCAAATATCTCCTAATGTTTAAGGGCATGCCCACATTTCCTCTTGGCCTCTCCCTGCTCCCAGGAAACATCTATCACTTTTTCTTTTTCCCCATCACTGTTACTAAATTTAGTATGTTTTATTACAATTACTTGCTTCTTTGTCTACCACGATGGTAGAAACCATGCTCCATGCTTACATGTGGTGCTCAATGTTTGTTGAATGAATTAACTGCAAACAGGCTTTAAAAAAATTACTTATTCTTTAGTCAATGTTTTCACTTTAGGATTGCATGACTTTCACAGATGAGAAAGTTTCCTATGGTACTCAATACTCTGTACTACAGAGCCTTTCTAAAGAATGGCAACCAAGAGCACCACAGACATGCAAAGTTCTATTTATGAGCATATCAAGACAGTAAGATTTTCAAACTCTGAAACTTAGTAAAATCCCCAAATGACATTTTTTACGACCCATTACTGCCTTTCTTGAGCCCCTATGCCACTTGAGTCAAGACTCTATTAGAATCTATTGCTATACTGGCATTTATCTATTGCTTGTCTATCACCCTGACAAGACAGTGAGCAACGCCAGGGAAGCGGAGAGTCATCCACAGGGACTACTGAAGTTATTGAATGAAGAGAACATTCTTTTTGGCTCAGTAAAAAGTTCCAAAAGGACTCTAATACGCCAGAGTTAAGACCTAGTGGTGGGATAACAGAAAAAGGACTAGACAGCAATTATAGAACTAAAGTTGCTGACTTGCAACTTGTGATCCTGTGTTGGTTTCCATTCAGTAAAATGAGGACACCTGCCCTAACTTATTAGACTTGTGAAGATCCAAGGAGATAATCCATTCAAAACACCAATATATATATATCATGGTGTTAATGTTAGGAAGTAGTTAAATTTACTTATTGCTTTAAGGCAAAATGAAGCATAACGAATATATTTTTCAAAGATCTTGGCATTTATAATCCAATGTCTAGTGTTAAACTTCCACGGGGCACCTGGGTGGCTCAGGTCATGATCTCAGGGTCCTGGGAATGAGCCCCATATTGGGCTCCATGCTCAGCAGGGAGCCTGCTTCTCCCTCTCCCTCTGCTGCTCCCCCTGCTTGTGGTCTCTCTAATAAATAAAATCTTTAAAACAAAACTTTCATTAATCAGGTTTTACACAGAGCCTCAATTAAAAAAAAAGTCACAAGCAAAAGATGGTTCCAGCTCTAAATCATAGGTTGTGGCTTCTGTGATTAAGACTAGGTATCTCTTCATCTACTCCTATGGAGAAGAGCTTTCTGCAACTTAACTATTAGAATCAAAGAGCAAATTCTGTGCACTGGACAGTAGTTACTTTTTATTTTTTACAGGAAAAAAATCTTATAATTACCATCCCACTTTCATTAAAGTAGATCAATGTAAGAAATACACACCAAGGGGCGCCTGGGTGGCTCAGTCGTTAAGTGTCTGCCTTCGGCTCAGGTCATGATCCCAGGGTCCCTGGGATCGAGCCCCGCATCGGGCTCCCTGCTTCGCAGGAAGCCTGCTTCTCCCTCTCCCACTCTCCCTGCTTATGTTCCCTCTCTCGCTCTCTGTCAAATAAATAAAATCTTAAAAAAAAAAAAGAAGAAATACACGCCAAGCATGTGCTCTGGTTCACACATTGTGCACCTATTGGCCAAAAACCCTGAAATATGATCCAATGGCAGATCCGCCCGCAAGGTAGTTGATTCAGCTTTCACTGATCGAGGTTTATGTTCATCAGATTAACTGTTCACGATAGAGTACACCCTACAAGAATGGTCCCCATTATTCCTGGACTCCTTCATCTTGCCTTTACGGACAAGGCTTTCAGACATTAAAAAGCCCCGGGAGTATTTCCAAGCATTCTCTCTTCCGAGAGGAACCGCTCAAAGGATTTGTGTTACTAAACATGTTTCTTGTACATGCTGGAGCCAGCTCTAAAGTCAACTCTTTGAAAACACGACAATGGGATTTTATGATAACCTAACAGAAACACGAGCTACTTGATTTGAGACACTGTTATCTACGCAAGTGAAAACTGACACAACTTCTAGGAATCCGAGGAACTTTGAAGACAGCCCCTCTGGGGGATGACACAGACTTTTCTCTCTCTGCAGTCATTCCGGCTTCCCAGAATACCTCAACGGTAGGGAGAACACAGGGCCCACCCTTTTCCAGAAGCAGCAGGTAAAGAAGAAATCCGAGGAGCGCACAAAGGATCTGGGAGTGGAGGCCCCAGCAGGAGAAGGGTCCGCCGATTCAGAGATCGCCTGAGACCAACTTGGATCCCCCTGGGGCGCCTCAGGTTTCTCAGAGAGCACGCCCCGGAGGGGACACCGTGGGAGATGAGTCTAACCTGAGAAGCAGCGGGCGCTTGCTACGGCGGGAACCAGCTTAGTTGCTGAGAGTAACCAAAGCATGACGGCCTCGCTCACGCGGCAGAAAGGAAAAGAAAAAAACAGCCAGAAAGGCGGCCGTCCGCAGAATTGCGTCGCCAGGAAACCAGGCCAAGCGCCCCTCCCCTTCCGGCCAGCACCGCTCGCCGGCCTTTCCTTCCATAGCGGCGCTGAATGCTGACGTCACGCCCAGAGCTGTGACTGACGTCCTTGCGGGAGGGCCCGTTTGCTGTCCTGTAGTCGTGCTCCACTTAATGCCCACACGAACAGAATGTCTGATTCTAAATGATTCCCTGCAGGAGTTGATATTTCCCGTCTCCTTGAAAGCACCATGTGGGGGTATTGATTCAGAGAACTTGATCAGATTTAGAATACAAGAATGCATGCGTAGAGAGGCAGGCAACAGCGTGAACAGCCACACTTCTAGAAGGTTCTAGGAAGTGCGCAGGGGCAGAGGCGGAGGGAAGAGGTATGAACGGGCGTAGGACCCGGGGTCACGAGACCGTTGGGTAGGAGGAGCCAGCAGCCGGGGAGGTTCTAGTCTGTTCTGCCTCGCGGCAGCCGCCCCCTTCTACACGATCACGCTGAGCTAGTACACGGACCTGGAATCGGGCCGCAACCTCAGCCGCGCCTGCCGCCTGCCACCGCCTCGGGACCATGGACCCCCGCAAAGTGAGCGAGCTTCGGGCCTTCGTGAAAATGTGTAAGCAGGATCCGAGCGTTCTGCACACCGAGGAAATGCGCTTCCTGCGGGAGTGGGTGGAGAGGTGAGACCGGGGCCGAGGACCGTTGGGGGTGGGAAGAGGGACGACCGGAGAGGGAGCTGGGCGGGAGCTGGCGTGGGGCGGAGGAGCGGGGAGCTCCGCCACGAGGGCCCGCCGAGTCGCCGCCTATTTGTGGCTTTCCCTGGCCAGGAACCGGAGGCGACTTCGGGGGCAAATGGAGGATCGGGAAGCTTAGATTGTACAGAGGTGGGGAAGGAGGAGGCACAGCTGGGTTCTCTCACCCTGAGGTCGTTAGGGGTGTGTCTTGGATGAAATCTAAAAGCAGAGATTGCACGGACTCGGGCACTGTAGACGTCGGGGGGGAGGGGGCTGCAAGATTTCGCTTTCGCGTGGAGTTTTCTTGAAATCTCGTGTCCTGCTTAGGTCGCGGTGGCACATAGCTCTTTTATGCGCTATGTCTTTAAAAATAGTGTTTTAATAACGATAGTTTATTACATAATGAGTTACAATAAAATGGTAATTATTAGATTATTTTTAAATTTACAGCGATTCTGACTGCGTAGAATTATTTTGGGAATCACTTATTGGTACCTTCGTAATATCGGTGCCATTACACGAAACATTTGAAGAAAAATGATTTTTCAAGGACCAGCATGTTACCATGATCTCTTCTTGTTATCCTTAAATCTGGAGTACTTGGGTACGTGCACAGAATTAATTGAATAGGCATTGTGCCAGATGCTAGGAAACCGTGTAAGTGCAGTTTATTTAGTGATACAGATGAATAAATACAGAAATTTGTTTTGATATTTACTGTCTAATAGAGATTAATATTCTTCACATTGGAGGAGAACTTAAGGGAGAAAGGGAAATCTTCCCCGAGACGGTTTTTGAAAAACCACTACTACTGGTGTGGAATTTAAATGACACACAAATCGTACCTCATGGTGATAATAGCGACAGTGCAAAGCAATGTGACTCTTTAGAGGTACTACCCTAAACATCAATCTTATTATTTTAGTGATATTTTTATAGGGGAAGATGAACCCATGATTATCATACATTTTAAAGAATATTTCTTTCAGCAAACTTTTCTAAGGAAGAAGTTTGTTAAAATCTATTGACGCTGTATGTGGTGGTACAATATTTTCCCTCTAAGAAGTTTCTCAGTTTTTCTCCACTAGTTTTCTAGCTGTGGTAAGATTTTGCTCCTGTTATAAATGTAAAATTCCGAGATCACTTACAGTTACTGCAGTAATTTAAAAACTGTTGTTGATAATAGTTAACAAGAATACTATTTTGTAACAGGAAGACCTACAAGATGCTAATTTCAGGACTAGGTGTTTAGGCCTAGATTTTAGTCGTTTTTTTTCTCTTGAATAAGTTGATAACCCATATTCTTCACTTTAGATATTTGTATGTTTTTAACCTCTTTTATTTATGAGAGGAAAGTGCCTGCAATTAAATAGTTTATAGAATTCCGGGTAAAGCTGACGTGTATACCACAGGAAGAAGGGGTTGATGCTGACTGAACATTATACTGAGTATATACATTGTTTTGTTCCTCTGCTGGAGAGGAAAAAGGGAGTTGTGAAGAAAAAGCTAAAACAAATCTGCTGGAGTGATTATGGCTATGTACAGAATTCCAGTTTAATGTCTGGAAAATATTGTCAGATATTATTTCCAGAAAATACTTAACGTGTCTTTTTTTTTTTCTAAACGTTTCACATAGGTAATTCTATTTTTTTAGTCGTCCAACTATATTTTTCTTGTGGCATCCTAAATTTTTGGTTTAAGTATAGGATGAAGCATCTTGGCACGTGTAGGGGCCCTATTGTGAAGCTTTCGTTATCTCTATTTTAATGTAACCTAAAATTTTTGTAGTCTTTGAGGCTTTTGCTTGAAGTGCATCAATTTCTCTCTGCCTTCATGTCAGCTGCCTTCTTTTTTTTAAGATTTTATTTATTTATTTGACAGAGATAGCACAAGTAGGCAGAGGGAGAGGGAGAAGCAGACTCCTGGTGGAGCAGGGAGCCCGATGCGGGGCTCGATCCCAAGACCCTGAGATCATGACCTGAGCTGAAGGCAGACGCTTAACCGACTGAGCCACCCAGGCACCCCTCATGTCAGCCTTCTTAAGTGCAGGATTATAGGAGATTGGGCTGAATGTGGAGACTTGTGGGTCCAGAAATATTCCCAGGCCTAATCCTACCGTAAGGGCTCCTCAAGTTGAAAGCATATCAGAGTTCTTCTCTGTTCATACTAGATTAATCGTAGGTGTCCAGTCTTAGACATTGAAGAACAGTTTATTTAATCTGTTTGCGTATTTGTGAGAATTTTTACCATTTTTTATAGTTTAAAATTTTATTTGGTGTTAAGAATTTATTTAACAACCTTTTAAATTGGACAGAGAGAAATAAAGAATTTTTTTTTTGGCTCAGTGAGGATCCAAGGAGACAATGATCTTTTCAACAAATACGTTTTGGGGTATTTTTTTTTTTCTTTAGGAAGAAGCATTTTTTGACACTATTACTTCATTTTATGGTAATTTAAGATCAAAGGCTGTATGTTTGTGTTATAATCTCCAGCACAGTGCATGGCACATGGCTTTTCAGTAAATATTTTAAATGAAGTGAACAGGATGCACTAATATTCTCAATGAATTCAGAACATAGCACCCAGTTTTTTGTACAGGTGCTTAATAACTATTGCTCAAAGCAATTTGAGCAATTAAGAGAATTACGAATGAGGTCTTGGAGTTTCCATACGAGGAAGGTCTCTGCACTAGCCCTACTTGGCAACATAAAAGCCTATACTGACAAAGTCCAGTTTGCAATGTTGGGCATGGAATTAGCGTGTTTTAAATTTTGGAAGCATTAAATTAAATTTTTGTACTTATAAATTGGTGTTAACCTTCCAGTAGTGAACTAGAATTTGGAAAGTGAGAAACTAAATGTAGCTTATGAATAACCTTCTTGTGTTCCTTCCCTCCCTGTTTTAAAATTTTAAAAAAATTTCAAAACTTGTAGGAAAATTGCAAGTACAGTACATTTTTCCTGAAATGATTTCCAATGTTGTGGCCTCAGCGCCATTGTGTATTTCCTACAAGGACAGTCTCTTCAACCACCAAATTCAGGAGACTAAGAATGATGCATTAATGCTATCTAGTTCTCAGAATTATATATTACACTTTATTGTGGAGACTTCTAATCTCTAAAGAATTCTTTGATCTTTCCTTGACTTTCATGACCTTGGCAGTTTTGCATATTACAGGCCAGTTATTTTGGATAATTTTCCTCAATAATGGGTTTGTCTTATCTTTCGTAAGGATTAGATTTAGTTTAATACATTTATTTTTAAAGATTTACTTATTTTAGTGAGAGAGCGAGAGCATGAGCTCGTGCGAGCAAGTGGGGTGAGGGGTAGAGGGAGAGGGAAAGAGAATCTCAAGCAGACTCCAAGCTCAGCGGAGAGCCGGGGGTTTGATCCCACAACCCCGAGATCACGACCTGAGCTGAAACACCGGATGCTTAACCGACTAAGCCCCCCAGGCACCCCTAGCATAATACATTTCTTGGTAAGAGTGTCCCTTCCCAAAGTTTTAACATAAGTTAGACTGTTAGGGCTGTGTCCTGAAAGTTGCATTTTGAAACTTAGGGAAAACACAGCTTAAGAAGCCCTGTGTTTTCATTAAAATTTAACTGCAAAGAACTATTGTTTGATTACTCCTTTTTTTTTTTTTAAGATTTTATTTATTTCACAGAGACAGCGAGAGAGGGAACACAAGCAGGGGGAGTGGGAGAGGGAGAAGCAGGCTTCCTGTCAAGCAGGGAGCCCAATGTGGGGCTCGATCCCAGGACCCTGGGATCGTGACCTGAGCTGAAGGCAGACATTTAATGACTGAGCCACCCAGGCACCCCGATTACTCTTTTTTTTTAAGATTTTATTTATTTATTTGACAGAGACACAGCGAGAGAGGGAACACAAGCAGGCTTCCTGCTGAGCAGGGAGCCCGACGCGGGGCTTGATCCCAGAACCCTGGGATCATGATCTGAGCCGAAGACAGATGCTTGAGGACTAAGCCACCCAGGCGCCCCTATTGTTTGATTACTCTTTTGAAAAGTGGTTTTTCTGTAAATCAGAATTTTAAAGAATTTTGTTTATATGCCTGTTTCTTATCAAATCATTTTACTTTGCTGAATTACAAACTAAGAAAAAGTTTTTTTTTCATGTGGGAACCATTTTTCTTTATTAAGGGTACTGAGTAAGTAAAGATTTTTTTGTAACTGTCACATTAAACTGAATGGGGAAAGTGTGCACATTTTTCTTCATTGGTGCTTAACAAATTCCACACTTTTCTATTATTGCATTTGTTGTTT